AACTTTAATTTATCAGGAAGCTTTTCTTTTTTTTTTTTTTTTTTTTTTAGCGCAGTGACGGTATCATTTTTACATAATTTGGTAGATTTTGATTAAATTCCTGCACTGTTGCCTTTGTCGTGTCTTGCCCTAACTTATTCCTCGCTGACAAGGTGGAAATTTATTAAGTATCAAACAAAAAATATCAACTCTAATATCACCTTTGAGAACTGTTGCAGAGGCAAACAATGTTTTGTTGCTCTACTTTTATTTAGTATTATCGTATACTTTTTTTATCAACCAAAACATATTGATAGATATCCCTACTAAAACAATTGCATTGATCTTTTATATTTGCATTTTCTTCAATTGCTTTTGAGAAGTTAATTTATGTTCCAACAAAGACAAACTCAACTTTGTTGACTTATTTGAGGCTGAAAGACAAAATTAACTATTAAATCAATTAATTTTGATCTATGCATTCAGAGATTCTTTTACACCTGATGAAGGAACAGTTCAGAAGTTTGAAAGTCAGGATCAGTTGAAACGAGTTGTTTAAACCTCTTCACATCTTTTCATATAGTATAAATACAGATTAATTGGTTCTGCAGACAATTAAATATAATACAACTACAGGCTGATTTATTGAGCTGGGAGAACTAACTCCTAGCATAAAACATTATAGTTTTTTTATATTAGCTCTATTCTTTTTAACTTTTACAAGATGCATTGGTCGCTTTTTTATGCCTGGTTCACACTGGAAGATATTTGTGACAATTATTTGCCCCGATCTTCTGCTTCGAAGTTATTATGATCCCTCTAAAGATTCTTCTAGGATAATCCTGATGAGGGAGGTGTGTTAAGGGTGATGTTGATCAGTCTCCTAGTGTTTGGGGTGTTCCCCACGCGCAGGTGAGAACACAACCGTTTGGAATATGACATTAAGCCAACCAATAAGTGTTTCTCAAGAAGAAAAAAACAATAACTCACCAGTTCAGCAAGTGGATCCCCCTCCTTTATGTCTTACTTATGAATTTCCCCGAGTAAAGCTTTGTGCTGCTGTGTGGCAGTACACTGTAATATCAAACCTGTTAAATCTTTGATTATTTTTATCGTCATGTTCAACCTTGCTGTGTAACCCTGGCATTACAGAGAAGCCAAAATGCTTTTTACAAGTGGAAAAGAGGTAGTGGGCCCATTATAATCTTTCTGGGACACTAAAACAAAACAGAAGTTATATCCAGATAAAGTTAAAATGTTTTCCTATTCCCTAGTATTTTAGTTATTCTAACTGGAGGTGCTTTCAGTATTCCATTCCCATTCTGTGTTCACAGAAGCACACAATTATTGCCTTCAACCTTAATTTGCTGTGTAAATAATGATCAACTTCTATGTAAATATCATTTCAATAGAAGCGTTACAATGGCTTAAATATCATTTTGAAACAGCAGTACACTCTGAGCTGCAGTTCTCCTGGACTAAAACACGTCAACTTCAGCCTCAAAGACCTACTAACCTGGACTTGTACTTAAAGAAGATTTTAGGACAGTTTTCTGCTAAAGGCAGGATATGGACATTTTTCTTAGAAACTCAGTTAAAAAACTAAAACTGTCTCTTAAATGAGGAGAACAAGCTTATCCTGGTGGTCAATCTTCAGCACAACTTACAGTGCACTAATGATGTTCAAGTTAAAATATGTTACTGACTCTTTGCTCAATGGTTGCACAGCTTAGGTTTTTATATTTTATTGTATTTAGACAGGGAATGCTCATTCTTGGCTGTACTTGTTTCTCTTTTTAATCTATTTATTATTCCAGTAAGTGAAACTCTAATGTCCTTATAAAACTAATTAACATTGAGAAAAGTTGCTTATACCAAATTTCCTTGATTTAAATACAAATGATGTGTCACAAGATCAAGTCTTGAAGACGGAGATTGGATTTTGTAAATACATTTTTATTTAACTTATAAAATCATCAGCAGTAAAACTTCCTTACCCTGCAGAGATATTTTTAGTTGGTTGAATATAAAGAATTTGCCTAAGTGGGAGGATGGGCCAAACAGGTAGTTGGACAATGCTCTGACCCCTTCATTTGATTAAGCAGATTTGATGAACACATATGGGGCTGATGCAGATTTACGAGTGATTAAGCTAATTTATTTATAGGTAAAAAAGGAAGGGTCCTTTGAACTTTGCTGGAGATTTCTGTAGACATGCAAACACCTTTAAAATGATTCAGATGAATTAAGAGGTTTACCAGAACTAAGCATTCCAGTCGCTAATGGAAATAAAAATCTAACTAATGTTACATGTCTGTTACTGTTTTGCTTACTTATTTTTCATAGACATAATTATATTTTCTTGGAAAAACATAAAAAAACAAAAGTGTGAATAAAAAAGATGGTACTGTCATAGAGCAATTGCAACATTTATTGAAGTGTTGGCTTTCTTGTATTGATTTTTCAACACATTACAAAAATACATATATGTTCAATTCAAAACAGCAGATGTATACTGTTCTGAAAACACTTTTTTTCACAATGATGCCCCCCCATTCCCTAAAACAAAAACAAAAAAGGAACAAGGAAACCTTTTGTACAAAGAGTGTAGGTGAAAGTGTTGAAAAGTGAAATATGAAAATGTATCCAAAATTACAGTTGTAAGTGCCATCACGAGACCTTCAACCAAACATGAGGAGAAGACCATGAAAGTCCAAGAAAGTCCTTTAAAATTGATTTGGAAAGAAATTCCTGCACAAATCCACTGTATTCACCTGAAGGTCTTTCCTTCAGTTTTATCTTTCTCATTTTTTTTCAATCATTTTGTTTTATTTCCACTAAGAATAGCTCAAGATAAAGAAAATTTAGGTGAAAAAAATATATTTAAAAGAAACAAATAGCTGGAGTCAAAATGACATCACTGTTGTTCGAAAAAAAAAATAAAATCTGCCATGACTGAGCATTTACATAAAAAAGAAAATCCATACAGTGAACAAGCAATCATACAAAAACACATTAATCTAGATTAAACCCCTCCACCAGGAAAATCATACAAAATTGCCAAATTATTGGAGAGATGGAGAAATAAAAATACTTTAGCATAATTTTCAACACTAATACAGAGTACTTTCTTAATGGCATACTTCAACACTGTAAACATATTGTAAGACTGAACGTCCATGTGTGATCTGGGTCTCTATGAGCTTTCCAATGTTCATCGTCCGAATGCGTTTGCATGGCTCATCATGGCCTCACTCTGGACGAGGGAAATAATACACGACGTGTTTAAAAAAGCACCTTGATTTATTTTCTTTTTTGCATTCATGCAGACCCACGTGTAAGCAAGCTCTCTCCCGCCAGTGTTGCTTTTATGTTAATTCACCAAAACGTACTTAACTATGTAGCTTATGCAGAGCTCATTGCGAACACGAAACTTTCTTTCTCAGATTTGCCAGAAAATTGAAGTGGAATTGCATTTAAAGCACAGCATATCTTTTTTTCTATCAAAGCAAAGTGGCGCAGATAAAACCTGACAATAGGCCAAAATGGTAGGTCAAAGTTTCAAGTGATTATGATTTCTATGGCTGAGGACTGCAGCACTGAAATGAAAAATGTAGCCTCATTCTCCTTTCATGTGGCTCCGCTGTCTCTCTCCCTCTCACGCTCGCTCTGTCTCACTATGATGGTCTGTTATAAGATGTGGTCAGTAGATGTGCATTTGGGTAAAAAAAAAAATACATGTTTCATATGCTTCCAATTTCATTTGAATGACTACTCTCCCCAGTCAAGGTCTTGCTCTCTCTCCCTCTATTTCTTTCTCACACATCTTCATTTCCCAGCTCCAATCTTTCATTTTTGCCATAAGAATAGCCCCTACTCAAGGTCGCTCGACCATCCCCAAGTGCAGCTGTGTTCCAAATTATCATAACTCATATGGCTTTTTTTTGCCTTTTTTTTCCTTAGTTTTACCAGATTGATTTTAGAATGAACGATGCAGAGAATAAAAAGCGTAATCCCCGGAAGACATGTACAGGCACACTGTATCAAAATCTGTTACAGAGTTAAACCTGTATCGCTGTGTGAGGCGAATGAACAGGCCTCCTTTTAAAATGCAGCTCTAATGCATCAATCTGAGTCGATGAACTGTGAAAAGATGCAGTCAGAGAGAGACTCAGAGCATGCCGCAAAGAGGAGAGGAATGCAAACACACATTGATATGGATTTCATTTAAGAGTTATGTTTTGGCCCATTATGGGGTACAGGAAGTCAGCTTGGTGGGACAGAGTTTCCATATCAAACACAAGAGGGAGTGGCATTGAAGGTAAAGTAAATTTAGCCAAACGATGTTTGACAATGAACTAGAGATAGGCTTAATAAAGAAAACATTGGATGGTAGCTACATGTAGCAAATGTAAGCAGCTGGTCTTTTGATTGTGTAGATTTAGGCCATCTTTCATTTACAGTCAGGGCTACTTTAACATATAAAAAAAGAATATTTACAAACCATATAAAGGACTGTTCCCGTTCTCACATTAATCACAAGTAGTCTTTAATCTATTCATCATATTAAATATGGTGGTTTAATCCTACATTAGGAATGTACTGAGCATCAGTTTAAGGGTATCTCTGTTAAGTGCAACCTTTATTTACGTCCTTTTTTGCTTTAAGGACACTAATACAGTAACTGCATTTTGAAATTGTTCCAATTTTTTTTTTCAATTGTTTTAAAAGGACAATGCTCCCTGAATAAATTAACACCAACCTACCATATCTCTAAGATAATGTCGGATTTTTAAAATCCACAATGGATGTTTTATTGTCAGGCTGACATTCAGTGCTTTAGGCCTGTATGAGGGAATGGATTGTAATCCGCTGCTGCAGGTAATATAGAAAACAAATATTTTTTTTTCTTTTAAAAGCTGACTGCTTCACACAGATTTACTCTCACAGGATAACAAGCTTCCTTAAAGGAAAAAGTCAAACATCGTATTAATGGTGACGTCTTCTCAGTTATATCGTTTTAGAAAAAAAAAAGTTTTTTTTAGAACATTTCAAAACTAACTCCATATGAAATCCCACAAAGATTTACCTGCACATGCCAAATATCATTACAAAAATCCAATAAATACAGAAATTATTGCACAGTAGAAAGGCTCCATAGATTCCTAACTGATAAAATCCTCAGACTGTTTGAAACACCCAGATGAGCATTTCAGACAAGTTATTAAAGTTTCCATTTGGTAATATTCTCAGGTGGCAGTTTCTGTGACAAGAAAAAATGATAAACATCAATCTTAATTTTTTTTTTCAAGAGAGTGATACTCCAGCCAAGCTCCATCACTGAAGAAGTGGTGTTGTGATTTGTGTGCATGTATGAGTGTATTGTGTATGTGTGTAAGAGAGCGCGCAAGAGAACAAGGATGTGTGTGTACTGTATGCTTTATAACTTATCGCTGGTGGCTTAACCTCTGTCCGCTTGTTCCAGTTTGACCTCACTGGCCATCAAATGTTCACCATGCCATTTCTTCATGTGTTTCTCCAGCGTGCTGTAGACACTGAAGGGCATGTGGCAAATGTCGCATCGATACACCTCCTTCCCGAACTGGCCGTGGGTCTTCATGTGGCGAGTCAGCTTGGAGCTCTGGGCGCAGGCGTAGCTGCACAGGTCACACTTGTATGGTCGCTCCCCCGTGTGGCTGCGCCTGTGGACTGTCAAATTGCTGCAGTTCTTGAACACCTTTCCACAGTACTCACAGGTGTCGTTTCTCTTCTCTTTTGAACTTGGGGGCCGACCGGGTCCAGGTCCGCGCAGGAGGTGAGGGGTGCTGCTTCCGCTCCGCCCCGATGCACTGCCGCCTTCAATCAGTTCCCCCGGCGGAGTGGAGAAGCGGAGGCTTCCAGTTTCTGAGGAGGAGTGGTCAGAAGAGTTGGCGAACGGTGACTGGCGGGAGTCAGTAAACCCCAAGAAAGGTTCTCTAATGAAGTGGCGTGAAGCAGCGTAGCCAGCCAGCAGCTGGGAGTAGACATTTTCTGGGGATATAAGAGGTATGGTTGGGGGAATATCCATCTGTTCCTTCTCTATCTTGATTCTCTTGTTGTTGGAGGGGCTTGGGCTGGTGATAGGAGTGGGCCTACGCTGAAAGAGCCCAGGAAAGGACTCCGCTTCACTTACACTGATCCTGCCATTCATCATCGGCCTGATATCTTCTTGCTCCTCTCGCTCTCTGTCTGGTCCCCTGTCATTTTCTCTTTCAGCTTCATTCCTCTCTCCACTGTCTCCATTAGGTTGTCTCTCCAAGGTTCTCTTGTTAGGGTTAAGTCTAAGGTGATTGTCCAGGTGGTTGTATGGGTGCATGATGCCCACTCCACCATTGTCATTAACTCTGTCCCCGCTCATAGGTTTCTCCACAGGGGACTGTCTGGGACCATTTTCTCTATTCTGACTGAATTCTTGGGAGTCCTCACTTAGGTTTGAATCTGGTCGACTTCCATTCCTTAGCTCTTCCTCCTCCTCCTCTTCCTCATCTTCTTCTTCCTCCTCCTCTTCCTCTTCTTCCTCATTCTCCATCTCCATAACTCTAGTATCCCCCTCTCTGTTTTTCCCTTCACCTTCTCCTTCTTCTCCCCGACTTCCCTGTTCTGGAGATCCAGTCATGTTCCCAGACTTATTGTGCATATGTGTTTTCATGTGCCTTTTAAGTTTGCTGGCCTGGGAGCAGGCATGGTCACACAGATGACACTTGTAGGGCCTCTCTCCGGTGTGACTACGTCTATGCACAATTAAGTTGCTTTGAAATTTGAAGATCTTGCCACAGAACTCGCAGGATTTGGACTTTCCTGGGGCCTGATTCTGACCCTGTGCATCAGGAGGGCTGGAGGAGCCATGCCCCCCCTGAGATGTGGGTGGTTGTGGGGCGTAGGTGAGAAATGTTGGTGGTTTTGCACCGGGCTGGAAAAGTGTTGGGCTAAGCAGGCGGTGCATGGGTGGCACACGGTTGGGTGACAAAGGGGGTGTGGGACCACCGTTATTGGTCGTATTGCCCGCTAGTTCTCTCAGTCGACGGGAGAAGTCCATCGAGGGAGGCTCCATGGGGGTCATTCTCATCACCCTCTCAAAGGCACTGGGGTGCTGTGACAGCAGCCCCATTTCCTCTGGACCCAGTCGTTCTAGAGGCGGTCTAGGGGGAGGTGGAGGGCTGACAAAAGGTGGTGTTGCAGGGAGCCGGGTCTCCATGTAACCTGATGGGTGGGGGTGTTCCCTGAGCAAGGGTGCCGCCATACGTAGAAGGTGAAATGGGTTGTTGGTGTCACCCAGGAAAGTAGGGAGAGGGGAGCGAGGCAAAGCATCAGCTCCCGGTGGAGGAGGGAGAGCCATGCGGGGAGTGAGAGAGCAGTTGGCCAGATGGTTGTCGAGATAGATGCGGATGCCATGAGTGTGCTGGGCATGCTGAAGAAGAAACCAGGCGCTGTTGAAGGTCTGCTTACAGGTAGTACAGATGTAGCTGGATGGTTCATCTTTATCTGTTGATGAAGAGGAAAAAAAACACATTTAAAAAAAGCTTATTTTTTAAAGTATGTCCTAGAAACAAAAACTTCTATCAAACAATCAAAATTCAACATAGAGTAAGTCTAAATTTTAAAAACCCTGTTTTATGGATACCTATATAGGAGGAAGCTGAGCTTATCTTGGTGTTTCCTAAAATTATTAGCCCTTTTAAGACTCGTACCATTTTATAAATGCAATGATCAGAACTGCAGCCTTTTCAATAAGGGGTGACACATCCTTTAGTAAAACGAAAAGAAGTCCGGTTTCATCCTGTTCCAGTGCTCAGAAAAAAAAAACAATCTCCTCATTTTGAATTATTTTGTGTATGAATATGTGAGACATTTTGTAAAATTTATTGCACTGAGACCCAAGTGTAAAATGAGCTTTCTGTGTTCTGGTAGTGTTATGAGGTTTCATAAGAAAGGGTGTGTTTTTACAGGGTAATATAGGTGGCAGGTATTGCCCTTAGGCCATGACACATTATGCAAATCCTAATGTCGGCAGGGCTTTAATATACAGATCCATCTCGTCAAATCTGTCATTTCCATATGGAGACCAGGGAGCGAACAATGGGTAAAAAACAGAAGATATGAGAAGTGGGGGTAGGGGATGGAGGCTGAGAGTGAGACAAAGAGCAAAACTTAAAAGCACACAGAAGAAAAGAGATAAAGCTGATGAGTAAATAAAAACTTTGCTGGTTATAAAACTGTGTTCATATTAAATGAATTTTTGCATCAGTGGTGTAGTTACGGGGGACTGTAAAGTGATCTGTTGTGGCTCCATACTTTGAGAGCTGAGCGTCACTCACTGACAAATTACCCCTTTAAATGCTGTGACTTAATAATGCCAAATGAATCTATCAGTCATTGTGGAGTGGCCCTGTCAGCCTGCCTTTGACTCATAAAAAAAAAAAAAAAAACGTCGGTAGAGGTTCATCTAATTGAATGCAGGCTTACCCTGAAGAGGCTTTTCCACAGTCTTGTGTTTGCTTGCGAGGCATCTGAATCTGCTTTATGATCAACAGCTACCGCAAGTGGAGTCAAGTTGGTACAGCCGTCCCAGAGCTTGAAGCCCAGAGGGGCCAACACAAAGCCAAGGAAGTTAGGCTTGGCCAGAGTTTTATGTGATCAACAAAAGAGTCCTTAAGATGGCTGACTGCCTCAAAGCCACCCTTTGTTATAAAATGTAAAACACACATGCAGAGACTGATGCATACTCGGGAATATGTCCTCCCTACTCTCCAGCCTACATCTTTTTCGCATACAAATTCATACACTCACTTTACACTGAGGACAGCAGATGAGCGAAAGCTGATGTTGGATCAGTGTCTGGTACAGGAAGCTGATTTGGCGCTGTGATTGGTTTGGCTTGCCTCTAGGGAGAAAGGGTCAGAAAAAGTTAATGAGGGGCTCATTTACTGATTCCGTCGGTTTTTCTCTGCTATTAGCAGTGCTCTGCTGCAGCCGTCACTTTCACTATTTGTGTGGGTTGGGACACGACCTGCCTCTCGCTATACTAATGTGTAGCGTGTTTGCATTTGTGAGTGGAGTCCTCATTTGTGCGTGTGAGGGAACATTTGCGTGGATGTGTTTTTTGCGTGTGTACATGCACGGCTGTGTGCATGTGTGGGGCGAGTGGCGGGCTGCCTGCCTCTGTTTAGTTTGGCTAAGCTTCACACGGCCGCTTGGCAGCGGTGAGCTGGACAGCTTAACAGCTTGGACTGGTAGAAGAGAACCTAGGGAGGGGAGGGACAGAGAAGGAGTGGAGGGGTGAGAAGAGGGGTGGAGGGACTTTAAGGGGCCTGATAGGCTTGGGCGCACACACTGCAGCACACACACAGAGAGGCTATTTTCATCGCCCCCCGGGACAGAGCTGTATTATCTCAGCAACTAAAGGATCAATAACTATGTAGTACTGAAAAAGGTTTGATGATCTCCTTGAAGTCTGCTTTTTCTAATCTATCCTCTTTTTACTCACTTTGCATCTTGTCATATCTTACACTGGTGCGCCATATGCTGCTAAAGGAAGCGTGGCAGCTAATAGAGTGGCAGTCAATGGTGGCTGCTTAATGACGGCTAAAGACAAATTTCATCAACTTCCCAAACAAGGAAGAAAGTAGCAGGGGGGAAACATAGAGCAGAAAAAGTTAAACCAGACAGTACTGAAACAAAGTGAAAGAAGTTCTTCTTTAAAAATTTAAGTAGAAATTTGGATCTAATTTATCTGGGTTGATATTAATTAATAGTTCAGAGGATGAATTAACAGTTAAACTGTTTAAAATGAAGTGACTTGACCCCAGAAAAGTTAAACTCTAATATTTAGTTCATTTTGGTAATCAGGATGTCCTCCCACATTAAAAACACATGAAAATTTGAGTATGATGTTATGATGACGGGTAAAAATATGTCTTTAAAACTTTCCCTGCTGAAAATCACAGTAAAATATGTCAGGGTTAAGATATTCTGCAGGCAAACAAATTTGACTTAAACATTAATGCTATTCCTAAACTAGCTTTATTAACATTTTATTTTATTCAGATTTGTAAAGCCATTTTTACTAAAAGGAAAACTGGGAAGTCTTTGCTTGCCTATGCGACGGATTGGCTCTGTTTAATGTATATCTTTGTGTAGCTCATTAACTTAAAGACATAGATAAATATTTTACCCCATATTTTTAAAATGCATTCCCCTAATTAAATGTGTAAGATAATTATTGGGATCGTTTTCATTAAGGGGTTAATCTAATCATGTTAAACGGGAAGAAAAAAAAAAGAAGTCAATAATGACGGAGGCATAAAACTACTGAAACTTTTTTTCTACTATATTCAACTAGTTTCATTGATAAAGATCATCTCTGGGTGAAATTGCTAACCTTTATTCTGAGCACAGTCCCTATAACTGGATAAAGCTGGTTGTCTTTGTATGATATCCTGAATGAAATGTTTACCAAACTGGTAAACATATTAACAGAAACACTACTTTATCTCACAGTATAAATAAGATTTATAAACCTTTGACTGAACCAATATTGTACTGCCAATATTTGCTGAAATTCTTTAAGCCAATATTTAATGTTCATCAAAATTCATGTTAATGGTTGTGAGAGAGAAAGCTGAATGCTGAGAGAGCGGCTGATGTTCAGAGCTCTGGCCAGTACAAGCCCTCATTAAAGGATCACTGTGGGTCATGTCATGCTTCAGTGTGTGGTAATTAAAGCCGCCAGCCCGACATGCAGGCGTAGACCTTTACCCCACTGACCGCCCAGGTCAACTGCCAGTTAGAACAGTTGCATCCTCCTCCTCTCAACACAGCCACTGAAGCTGGACCTAATCGCCCAATTTACTCCACCACACTGTGCGCGTACCGACACACACAGCTCCATATGTGTGTGCGTATGGGAATGAGGCTGATATGAGAGGTTAAATGAAATGGAGTCGCAGCAGGATTCAGTAATACGCTACACTGCATTTTGCTGCTTTTTGTCAGTTCGCCAGCAATTTGTAAACGCTTTGCTGTAATGGAATTCACCTAAAAAGGGACTATCTGTTATTTCTCTGCCCAGGTGTTCATGCTGGCAGGCTTTCCCATGAAAACAGGGAGGAAGTGCACAATACAGACCTGAGACCAGCTCAGGAGGGCAGCTCTTTGTCCTGCACAAGGAAACAAGGGCTAAGGGCCAGGAGGCCTGGAGGAAGTTATTAAAGCACTGGCACATGCATGGAAGCTGAGGTGGGCCAGTAATAATTCCCTCCATCTCTCCTGCGTTGTTGTTTTTTTTTTTTCGTTCTTTTTTAGTAAACCACTAGCCCAATTAACCAAGTCTACAGGGACTGAGATCTGAGCTTTACATCAGATTTTATTCTTTCCAGATTGCCTTTTATAGCCATTATTTTGCCTTAAAAAGTACAAACAAAACGCCAGTGTATAAAGGGGAGCCATGGTATTGACTGTTTGCATATGGCTAGAAGAGCAAAGGTGGCGTGAGTCTGGTGGAGCTGACGTCCAAACCCACCGTATGGTGTGGCCATGTGGGTTTGTGCCTAACTAAGAAGTTCACATATGCTACTCTGGAAAGCTGACGTGCTATTTCTGATTTGTACGGTAAAGCCTGAGGTCCTTCCATTTAAACTCTGTGGTCTTTATCAAATGTTGTATGCCAGAGGGACATTCAGGGGAAACCACAGAAGAAGACTGTTCTACAGGGTCAGTACTCTACAAAAAGTAACCTGGTCAGACACTACACCACAATAATTTTTTTCCTTTGACTTAGCTAGACACTAAAAATATTTTGCTTTGTGGAAGTATTTACCCCCAGTGCATCCCAACACCAGGAAAAGGTTATGCAAAATTGGGGATGGATTTTAAATGTTTTTCTTTAAAAAAAATGCAGAATGCATTTCTTTACTCTGGCTCCTCAAAAAGAAATCCACTTCCAACTATGGCCTCAAGGAGTAATCATTTTTCTAAAAAAAGTTCACTTGTGTATCTTTTTAAGTTAAAAATTATAAATGTAGCAGTTGCTCATTAGCAAACATTACCAATCAAACAACATAAATAAAAACATGGAACAGAGGAAAAATTCAGGGATTCATTCGGAGAATCACAGAAGCTGCTTATATCAACCTTCATACATCACTTCCAAGAAGTAACATGGTAGAGGCAGCATCATGCTGTGGTGTGTGATTTATGTTTTTTATAAGCCGGGACAGAGAGGAACTTAATAAAGAGGTTCAGACTAAGGCTGAGGTCTCAGCAGGAAAATGACCTTAGGCAAGCAGACATAGCGACAAGAGAAGAGTTTAGATCAGCAGAAAGTTTTTAGAATGTGTTAGAATGGTCCAGTCAAACCCAGAGTTTCATCCACTTGATAATTAGTGACAGGAATTAAAAAGAGATTTTTAAATATGCTCTCTATTCAATCTAAGCAATTATTTCATAAATGTGAAAATCTGGTAGATAGAAACAAATCAGCTGCA